CTCATTTTGTTTTCGGACCAGACCAATCTATCGTACAACGGGGGCCAATCTGCCCACCCATTTCTGTTGTCCTTTGGGAACATTCCTGAATGGGCTAGGTGGCTTGAAGGAGGCACTGAGCTTCTCGGGCTCCTGCCTAACATCCCACCTGACCTCTCGCCAGAAGAGAAGGTTCGAGTGTTCCAGGACGCTGCAGAGATCATGATTCGAGATTTAAAGGCGGCTTCACATCTTTCAGGGTGAGACACTGCTACTCTCGCCCAAAGGCGCGCATCCCTTGTACTCTCCAGAATCCACCACACTACCCTACTTATTTTCATTGCCTATCTAATACACACTTCCCTCCCTTTTTTACCCCCATTCTCCTCTGTTCTTCTTTCGCATGCGTGCCACGACGCCGGATTCAGTCGAAAGTACTCTGCTACCAGCCACCATGCTTCACCTAATACCATTCGGTTCCTTTCGTACCACCGTCTCCTGCCGTTGAAACCATCCCTGCTTGCTGTCCCCCTCCTCCTAACCGTCCTTCATCTGCTTGCTTACAGCAACCCATGCTCACACTATCACTGACATATCTAACATGGTCTCCCATCCTCGCCATACCCCCCCCCCCCTTGCTTTACCCCTCATCCTGGCGGCTGTGCAGGGGCGGTGTGATGGTGGAAGACAGTGCCGGCGTGCAGTATAGAGCATTCACGCTCCTTTATTCATGGGTGGCCGATCACCCGGAGTCTTCTAAGATCACCTGTACGATGGCATGCAACTCACACCATCCGTGCTCGTTGTGCTTGGCTGAAAAGGAGCGCCTGGATGAAATGAACTTTGAGTTGACTCAACAGCCAACTGACAAGAAGCGCCTGGATGAGCAGGACGAGTCCATTGTCCCCAGAAATGTCGAGGGTCGGAAGGAATCTGCGGAAACCAAAAAGAAGCAGGAAGACACCATTGTCCTTAGAACTGTCAAAGGTCAGAAGGATTTTCACAAGGAGATGAAAGCCGCGAAGACCAAAAAGGAGCTGAAGGCGGTGAAGAAGAAGTCCTCTACACACTTTGTGAAGGTGCGCCTTGCCCAGCTTGTTCCGCGTGCATCCTTGTGGTTCTCATATGGTTTTCCTCCGTATCCACCATATACTGCTGTGGCTAGTGTGCCCGGAAACCTACTCCGTTCTGCCTCCTGCTGTTCGTATTTATTATCCTGACCCGCCATAGTGGGTTTGCGTCCTTGACCCCCGACACAGAGCCTTTTGTGGGACTGGGAATTCGCAAAAACTCTCTGGGGCAACACGTACCTTGCTGTGCCCCCGGACATCATGCACATCTGGGAGCAGGGCATATGGCTGCATGCCATGAAGTGCCTGGTGAAGAAGCTGACCCCGAAGGAACGGAAGATTCTTCTAGAGTGAGTTGTTCCGCGCCCTGCTTCATGCTACTCCCCTCCGTGCTTGCTTTCCGCGCCATGCTTCATGCTACTCCCCTCCGAGCTTGCTTTCCGCACCCTGCTTCATGCTACTCCCCTCCGTGCTTGCTTTCTGCGCCATGCTTCATGCTACTCCCCTCCGTGCTTGCTTTCCGCGCCCTGCCTCAAGCTACTCCCCTCCGTGCTTGCTTTCCGCGCCATGCTTCATGCTACTCCCCTCCGTGCTTGCTTTGCGCGCCCTGCTTCATGCTACTCCCCTCCGCGCGCCCTGCTTCATGCTACTCCCCTCCGTGCTTGCTTTCCGCGCCCTGCTTCATGCTACTCCCCTCCGTACTTGCTTTCCGCGCCGTGATTCATGCTACTCCCCTCCGTGCTTGCTTTCCGCGCCCTGCTTCATGCTACTCCCCTCCGTGCTTGCTTTCCGCGCCCTGCTTCATGCTACTCCCCTCCGCGCGCCCTGCTTCATGCTACTCCCCTCCGTGCTTGCTTTCCGCGCCCTGCTTCATGCTACTCCCCTCCGTACTTGCTTTCCGCGCCGTGATTCATGCTACTCCCCTCCGTGCTTGCTTTCCGCGCTCTGACGAACTGTTACACACACCTAGGCGATACAAGATTTTGAAGGAGGCCACACCAGCTTCCGTGCTCCGTCTTCCTTCGGCGTGGGCCTACTTCACATCCACTGCCTGCTTTTCAGCTGCAGAGCATCGGGCAATGATGCAGGTCCTGCCCCTCATCATCAACCTCCCAGGACGAGAAGATATCCGCACGGCCATTGTCAAGATGGTCGAGTGGTACAAGGCGTTCATCCGCGCTGAGTACCACACCGACAACTCTCTGGAACAGATGAAAGACGCCACCATCAAGTAATTACTCCGTCTGTTATGTGGTTTCCCAGGCCCTTCATTGCCACGTACGCACATTTTCATTGTCGCGCCTGTACCCTAAATGCTCCTCCCACCCTCTTTCATAGGCTTGACTTCATAGGCTTCTGTGTTTCCCGTTTGTACAATACCAAGCTTGTTGCTCAGTTCCCTACCAGCTTCACCTTCGTACTCGCCTGTTTCTCCCTTTCGTGCGATGATTTCCCTACCCAGGCTCCATCGTACTCCGTGACCTTTGGATGCCCTCCTTCCATCGTCGTTTTGCCTGACCCATCTTCTCCCTCTGCACTGCATCGCTTTTCCTCCATAACCCACCTCCCTGCTCCCTCCTTCCGTGTTTCTGTTTTCGCTGTCTGCTTCCTCACTCCCCCTCCCGCATCCCGTTTCTCCCTTCACGGCCTGCATTCCCCCTCTTAACTGCATGCGTTGTATCTAAATTTTCTCCAGGATGGTGAAGGCTCTTCGTGTCGCTTTCCCTAAGCAGAAGTCAAAGTGGAAAATTGTTAAGATTCATCTTCTCGTTCACCTCCCATCAACCATCCGTATGAGGGGGATCCCTGCCGAGTACTCGTCGAACTGCTACGAGCACTCCCACAAGACCACTGTGAAGCGTCCTTCACGTGGCACGAACTGGAAGAATGTTGAAGATCGAATCGTCCGGAAACACCTGGAGCATGCGGTAGTTAGGCAACTCGCGCGGGAGGCCGGAGGGGACAGCACGTACGAGACCTCGATGAAAGAGGTGACTTTTACGAACCTGCTCTGTTCCCCTGCACCCCGTCGTCAACTAAGTTTCCCTATTTTAATCCCATGCTGTGATCTCCTAAAGTGATGCCATGCTCTGTTCTCTTGCTCGGTTCCCCTCCTCTGTTTCCCTGCTCGGTTCTCTTGCTCTCTCCCCCTGCTCTGTTTCCCGGCTCGGTACTCTTGTTCTCTCCCCCTGCTCTGTTTCCCTGCTCGGTTCTCCTTCTCTCTCCCCCTGCTCTGTTCCTCTTGTTATTTTCCCTTCTTTGTTATATGCTCTGTTTCCCAGCTGTGTTCCCTACTGTGTCTTCCCCGCTCTGTTCCTTGCACTGTTCTCCTCTGCCATGTTCCGTTCTGTGTCTGCCCTGCTTTGTGCCCTGCTGTATTCCCTTCAGTTTCCCTGCTATGCTCCCTTCTGTGTCTGCCCTGCTCTGTGCCATGTTCAGTTTGCCCGAGCTCGGTTCTCATGCCCTCTCCCCTGCCCTGTTTCCCTGCTCGGTTCTCATGCTCTCTCCCCTGCCCTGTTTCCCTGCTCGGTTCTCATGCTCTTTCCTGCTCTGTTTCGCTGCTCGGGTCTCATGCTCTCCCCCCCTGCTCTTTTTCCCTGCTCGGCTCTCTTGCTCTCTCACACTGCTCTGTTCCCCTCGTCATTTCCCCCTCTTTGTTATCCGCTCTGTTACCCTGCTATGTTCCATGCTGTGTCTCCCCTACTCGGTGCCCTGTTCTGTTTCCCTGCTCTGTTCCCTGCACTGTTACCCTGCCATGTTCCGTTCTGTGTCTGCCCTGCTCTGTGCCTTGCTCTGTTCCCTTCACCGATTCCCTGATTTGTTCACTTCTGTGTCTGCCCTGCTCTGTGCCCCACTCTGTTCCCTTCACTGTTTCCCTGATTTGTTCACTTCTGTGTCTGCCATGCTATGTGCCACGCTCTGTTCCCTTCACTGTTTCCCTGATTTGTTCACTTCTTTGTCTGCCCTGCTATGTGCCTCACTCTGTTCCCTTCACTGTTTCCCACATTTGTCACTTCTGTGTCTGCCCTGCTCTGTGCCCCGCTCTGTTCCCTTCACTGTTTACTTGATTTGTTCACTTCTGTGTCTGCCCTGCTCTGTGCCCCGCTCTGTTCCCTTCACCGTTTCCCTGATTTGTTCACTTCTGTGTCTGTCCTGCTCTGTGCCACGTTCTGTTCGCTCGTCTCTTTGCCCGCATTTCTGTTTCCATGCTCTCTGCATGTGTTGGCAATCACATTTAGGACCAACATAACCAAAGTAATCGATTCCTACCCCCCCATCCCCTTCTTCGTCCCCACAACCTCTCCCCCTTTCCCCCACACCCATTCCCACTTCGTGGCCTTTCCCTTCTTCGCCTACACCTCGCATCCATCCCCTATCCCCCCCCCCTCTTCCTCCCTCCAAAAGGACTCACCATACAACCCTCCCCCTCCCTATACCAACCCTCTCCTCTCCACGGTGACAGGCATGCCTGGCTGGCCAGAGGGTGCTTACTAAGACCCACAAGAAGATGGTCCTGGGGGACATCACCGACTCAGTGTTTCGGAGCTACGTCTTGACTGTTGGTGAACCTGCCATGAGTGCGATAGTTCTGCGACTCAGACGGGCAGGCATCAACACGCAAGTTTTGCAGGTGCATTCCCGGTCGTATGGATATGCCATTTTTTCTCACTGCCCCCACTTCCCCCTCTCCTGCATGCTTTCCACCCACTCCAGCCCCCCTTCCCCCTCTCCTGCATGCTTTCCACCCACCTTAGCCCTCATTCCCCCTCTCCTGCATGCTTTCCACCCACTCCAGCCCCCATTCCCCCTCTCCTGCATGCTTTCCACCCACTCCAGCCCCACTTCCCCCTCTCCTGCATGCTTTCCACCAACTCCAGCCCCCCTTCCCCCTCTCCTGCATGCTTTCCACCCACTCCAGCCCCCCTTCCCCCTCTCCTGCATGCTTTCCACTCACTCCAGCCCCCCTTCCCCCTCTCCTGCATGCTTTCCACCCACTCCAGCCCCCCTTCCCCCTCTCCTGCATGCTTTCCACTCACTCCAGCCGCACTTCCCCCTCTCCTGCATGCTTTCCACCCACTCCAGCCCCCCTTCCCCCTCTCCTGCATGCTTTCCACCCACTCCAGCCCCCCTTCCCCCTCTCCTGCATGCTTTTCCACCCACTCCAGCCCCCCTTCCCCCTCTCCTGCATGCTTTCCACCCACTCCAGCCCCCCTTCCCCCTCTCCAAAATGCTTTCCACCCACTCCAGCCCCCCTTCCCCCTCTCCAAAATGCTTTCCACCCACTCCAGCCCCCTTTCCCCCTCTCCTGCATGCTTTCCACCCACTCCAGCCCCCCTTCCCCCTCTTCAAAATGCTTTCCACCCACACCAGCCCCCCTTCCCCCTCTCCTGCATGCTTTCCACCCACTCCAGCCCCACTTCCCCCTCTCCTGCATGCTTTCCACCCACTCCAGCCCCCCTTCCCCCTCTCCTGCATGCTTTCCACCCACTCCAGCCCCCCTTCCCCCTCTCCTGCATGCTTTCCACCCACTCCAGCCCCCCTTCCCCCTCTCCTGCATGCTCTCCACCCACTCCAGCCCCACTTCCCCCTCTCCTGCATGCTTTCCACCCACTCCAGCCCCCCTTCCCCCTCTCCTGCATGCTTTCCACTCACTCCAGCCGCACTTCCCCCTCTCCTGCATGCTTTCCACCCACTCCAGCCCCCCTTCCCCCTCTCCTGCATGCTTTCCACCCACTTTAGCCCCCCTTCCCCCTCTCCTGCATGCTTTCCACCCACTCCAGCCCCCATTCCCCCTCTCCTGCATGCTTTCCACTCACTCCAGCCGCACTTCCCCCTCTCCTGCATGCTTTCCACCCACTCCAGCCCCCCTTCCCCCTCTCCTGCATGTTTTCCACCCACTTTAGCCCCCCTTCCCCCTCTCCTGCATGCTTTCCACCCACTCCAGCCCCCATTCCCCCTCTCCTGCATGCTTTCCAACCACTCCAGCCCCACTTCCCCCTCTCCTGCATGCTTTCCACCCACTCCAGCCCCCCCTCCCCCTCTCCTGCATGCTTTCCACCCACTCCAGGCCCTATTCCCCCTCTCCTGCATGCTCTCCACCCACTCCAGCCCCACTTCCCCCTCTCCTGCATGCTTTCCACCCACTCCAGCCCCCCTTCCCCCTCTCCTGCATGCTTTCCACCCACTCCAGCCCCCCTTCCCCCTCTCCTGCATGCTTTCCACCCACTCCAGCCCCCCTTCCCCCTCTCCTGCATGCTTTTCCACCCACTCCAGCCCCCCTTCCCCCTCTCCTGCATGCTTTCCACCCACTCCAGCCCCCCTTCCCCCTCTCCAAAATGCTTTCCACCCACTCCAGCCCCCCTTCCCCCTCGCCAACCTGCTTTTCCACCCACTCCAGCCCTTTGCCAATTTCCCCCTTTCGCTATGCTCTCCACCGCCTCTTTCGCTGCTTTCACATTGTCTTGGTTCATGCTCGTGGTTTCAGGTGCACACGGCACTTGCGATTCCGCCTCACGACAAGATGGAATGGACGTCAAGGGGGCAGTTTGTCAAGGCTAGCCCGGGCGAGAAGAACTTCTCATCTGTTGCAATCAACCCTGCAGGGAAGGGGTCCCCCTGGTACGGCCGTTGTCTTGTCCTGTTTCACTACAACAAAGATGGGGAGCTGAGGCGCGGAGCATACGTGGAGTATTACACCGAGGACAAGCGACTATGCCCGTCAACGGGATGCAAGCGCCTTCTACCCACAGAGGGCGAGGATGATTTTGCAGTGATTGATGTCGACTGCATTCTCAGTCTCGTACACATTGTTCCCTCATGTGAGGACGATGAAGTGAGCCTTCTTAATAGATTCGTTTGGTGAGGTCTAGCACACGTAGAGAACTTTGACGCATTGTGACTTTTGTAAACATGAAATTGTTCCCTGACTATGTTCTTTTTAGGCCTTGTAAGAATATAATAGGTGTAAAATTTCCTTCAAATAGTTAAACATGACTCTTGGAAGCACTATTTACATAGAGAAAATTACATCATCATATTCAAAGAAACATAAGTGCAAATGTCATTAATGTAACAAATGGTACACAAAAGACTAAACGAGGAATTCTTGGAGAGAATCAAATTTCTCGCTATCTGCTCCCTCGCGAAGAGACATGCTCGACTATCTGTTAGGCCCGGAACCCTAATCCTGCGCACAAGCAAGAAATAGTTAGGAGCAAACATTCAGAATGTGACTGGAAAACATTCCGCCGAAGGCAAACGTTTTTTAGAGTTTCCCTGTACGTTTTTCAAACGATTGTCAAACGTACGATAGGCTGCCGCGAATGTCAGATGATTTTCAGACACACGCATTTTTGTGATGCCTTCAAAAAATATAAAAATAAAAATAAAATAATTTGCAGCTTGTGCCAATAAGATTATTGTAGTACTACTAGTTAGACACCACGAGCAAGGGCCGATACAGGGCTTGGCCGGCACGAAATATGTTGGGCAACCTTTCTACAGACAGTGATTATCTGTGTTTGTACCACATTTTTATTCCAATTCGGTACTGAAACATTTGTTGAGAAAAAAACTCACTTGGAAATGTGATTACAGCGATAGTGTTTTAGGCCAAACTCGGGCTAGTGTGTGACGAACCGCCAATGGCTGATTGGAACCCGATCCGGAAATCAGGCTGGCGAGGTCCAAACTGGGCCAACTCGTTTGATTCTTCCTCATGTCTAGTCTCATGCTAATAATCACCGTCCTACCTTCCTTCTTACCAATTTGTCCATCTCCCTTGCGGGTGTGATTATCCTTCCACCCGATTGAAACCCTGGAAAAACGCGATTCTGTTTGAGAAAAACACATAGGCTGAGCAGACGTTTCTAGGTATGGTAGACCACCTAGAAACTATCCTACGAAATGGTGGTTCCTTTTAGATCTTGAAAACCAGATCTGAAAAATAAACATTTTAAACATTTGTATCCAACACAGGTGGCGCGCAAGTTATTTTTTCAGCTAGAAACTGGTCGCGACTCTAAAAAACTTGCGAGTAGTGAAAAAGCTCGTGAAAAAACCAAGTTTTTTACGAGATTTTTTTTAACTCGCGAGTAAAACTTGACACGGGCGTCCGAGTTTTTTCAACAAAAAGACAAACTCGAAACTGGAGCTTTTCAAGTCCCTCGAACGAGGCGAGGAAAAACTCGCCTCGTTTGCCCATGTATAGGTGACATTAGGGATGAGCAAATGGCGAACTCGAACACGTTTGGGTTCGAGTTCGCTCGAACATCATCTTTTCCCGAACCGAACACAGTTCGGTTCGGCGAACACTTTGAGCAAAAAATGGTGTTCGCCGTTCGCCTGTGAAGGCGTGTTCGGGCGAACCTCGAACAGTGTTCGTGTTCGTCACGGGCAAATTGCAGCGGCGGCCCGAACACGAACGTGTTCGGGCGAACATCGAACACTCTTCGGCGAACATTTTAAGCCAAAAAAAAATACTTGTTCGGTTCGCCTCGAACACGTTCGAGGCGAACCGAACAGGTGTTCGCCACCTTGCTCATCCCTAGGTGACATGATACAAACGTACATGCATGCACTGAAGTCTTTTGCGAAGTACCCATCTAGATCCCTTGATGAGAGTTGTGACTGGATGGGGTGTGGTAAAATGTGCTGCTTAGATAATCACTTCCTGGTGCAGTGTGCCCCTTTAGTCTAGTGCTATCAGTTTCCTCTCACAGGAGAGCTTTTCTCATGTTGAGCGTGAGCTAAGAAACAAGGGGGTGACTTTGATACATACGTGTGTGCATGCAATGAACTCATTCGTGGAGCGCCCCCTTATTCCAGTGTTTTGAATGGATGGGTTGCTGTACTTCAAATGTGGTGCTCAGATGAATTCTCCTTACTTCAGTGAGCACCACGATCTCTCTGTTTCTTCTTACTGCCCTAGTTTCATGAAACATTTTCCTTCAAAAAGCCCACCAGCATTCCACTTCGCATACTGGTGCATCATCATCCTAGAGTGCTGGTCTGGTTCTTCCTTGCATTCGTACCCAATGGCAGGTCCCTCGGGAGTAATCATCTCACGGGTTCAATTCCTGTGGAAATTGGCTCTCTACTATCTCTTGCATCCCTGTAAGGCTTCTTTCTGCCACACGAGCCTAAGACTGGGCTAAGCTGGCTCGTTTTTAGGCTATGGCAAGCCGGCGGGCTGACAAGCCAAGCTGGAGTCTCCACTCGATGGGCCGGGCCGGGCCGGGCTGACTCGGCCCGTGGCTCGTCCGTCGTAGCAAGCCTTTGCTAATGTGTGCTCCCTCCCCCCCAACCTACTATCTTGTCTCTCTTGAATTGGTCACCTCCTTGACCTCTACATTTCCTTCTCGTCACTGGCCCCATTTCCTTCTTCTTTTCCATTTTCTTCTCCTATCATGTCGTGCAAACACACCAATGAACTCATTTTTTCTTTCCGTGTGTCCACCTTCCACATCATCACCACAGCTCTCTCAACTCCAACTTGCTCTCAGGATCTTTGCCCTCTGCGATCACAAAGCTCACTGCTCTTACTTTCCTGTAAATAATCCATTGTATTGTTTTCCTTTGTCAGAAAACTTCGCAGAGTGTGCAACGAAAACTATTGTAGTAGGACAAGTTAGGCACGAGCAAGGGGTGAGGCAGGGCAGGGCCGACACAAATCAGGGTGGGCAGCCTTTCTAGAGACAGTGATTCTCTGTGTTTGTACCACATCGTTTTATTCCATATAGGTACTCGAACATTCGTTCACAGAACAGCAAAGCCTTGGAAAGACTGATTACAGCAATTGTGATTCAGGCCAAACTCGGGCAACCCTGTGACAAACCGCCAATGGCTGATTGGAACCCCACCTGGCCATCAGGCTGGTGAGGTTCAATATGGGCCAACCCAATTGACCCTTCCTCATGTCCAGTCTCATGCTAATAATCACCGTCCTATCTTCCTTCTCACCAATTTGTCCATCTCCCTTGTACGCCTCCCACGTGTCCCTCGTCTCTCTGTCTCGGACAGCTCCCTCGCTAACAACCAGCTCACCAGCTCCATCCCCGCTGGCATTGGCTTGCTGACAAAGCTGGTAACCATGTAAGGATCCATTTCAGGTGCTTGGCCCACATTCTTAGGCATGAGCAATAACCGAACCAAAACAACTTGCGCACCAGATGGGGGTGGAGAGTTTCAGAACCGCACTCTTCAAGTCTTAAGGCACACGGGTTTTGCTCATGCCTTGATTGAACACCTTGATTGGGACAGGTCGCTGGTCCCCAACCAGCTCAACGGCTCTAGAGATGAGCATTTGCCCCGCTCTCAACCCTGCCGACCCGACCCGACCCGGGCTAAAACCCGATCCGAGCATGGGACTCGGGCCTAGTCGGGTCGGGTTTTGGGTCAGCTTTGACCCGACCCGAATTCGGGTTAGGATTTGGGAAATCGGGTCGGGTCTGGACAGAGGAAGGACCTGAAACCCTAACACATTCTATGTCAAGGGTAATTTTTCCCCGTACACATCATTTCATTACCGCAAACCTAATATCCTTCCTCCAGCGACCAAAGTCACCTAGGAGTCATAACTACTTAGTTTCCAGCCAAAGAATGATGCGACAAGTTAGGAGTCAACTTTGTGGAGAGGCTCAATGTCGCTAATCACCCTCTGTATGGTTAGGCATGATCATTAGGCCCGACCCGACCCGACTTGGGCGGGCCAGCCGGGTTCCAGGTCGGGTCGGGTCGGGTCAGCACTTCTAGGAATTCTGGCCCGACCCGGGTATCGGGTGCCGGATCAGGCTTGACCCGCCACCGGGTCGGGTCGGGTAGGGGCCGGGTCGGGTCGGGTCGGGCCAGAACCCCATATGCAGTGTGTAGGGGTTTCCTCACTACTGTGCAGTGTTGCGACGTTTTTGTAATGGCGCAGGCCTAGACAATTGGGGGTCGCGACCCTATCGATGCGGGCGTGGTAGGCGCGCAGTGGGCGATCTGAACTCGGGGCCAGAGTTTAGTCGCGTGTGAGAGCTAGGAATAACTAAGTCTATAAAATCGAAAAATCTGTGGTTGGTCGCGCTAGGCTAAGAAGTCCATTCCGCCAACATGGAAACACTTGAAATAGGGTTCCTAAACATGGGCGCTGGTTTAGAGAGTTCTAGAGCTTGAGAACGAGCTATTGCTAGGTGCCTAGGTATTGCAGATCGAAGTCAATGTCGAGGGAACAAAAAAACCCTAGACATTGACTTCGCGATCTGCTTTAGTTCGAATTGTCGTGGGAGGGAAACTCGGGTCAGGCCAAATGCCCGACCCGACTTAGGGCGCGGTACCCGATTTCGAGTCGGGTCAAATTTCGGGTCAAAAACTGACCCGACCCGACCCAACCCGGTTTCGGGTGTCGGGTCGGCCCGACCCGGCCGGGTAAACCCGACCCGACCCGCTCGGGTCAACGGTTCAAAATGCCTGACCCGACCTGGGTCAAAACCCGGGTCGGGTCGGGTCGGCCCGACCCGCCGGGGCAGGATGATCATGCATATGTATGGTCTTCCCCAACCTCATCGCTGTCCCTCCTCTCTTCAGTCTGGTCTTCTCTTGTATGCTACAACGTCACTATAACCCCAGTGATATTTTATAATCTGGCTTCATTGAAGAGACGTTTCAAGCAACCAGTTGTCTGGCAGCATTCCTGCTGCCATCAGCACACTCGCCCAACTTCTTTGCCTGTTAGTGGCACTCTACTCTAGTCTAGTGCTGTCAGTTTCCTCTCACAGGGGAGCTTCTTTGACGTTAAGCGTGAGCTAACAACATTAGGGGGTGACATGATACAAACGTAAATGCATGCATTGAAGTCTTTTGCAAAGCACCCATTTAGATCCGTTGATCAGAGTTTTTGCAAAGCACCCATTTAAAATGTGGTGCTCAGATAAACTCTTCCTGGTGTAGTGTGCCCCATTCTATTTCCCATCACAATATCACGTTTTACTTACTGCCCTACTTTCATACATACACCAAATTCCGCCAGACTATCATCAGCCTTCCTCTCCTCGTCCTAGTGCTTGATCCTGGAACCACGATTCGGTTCTGTGCAGTTTGGTTTGTTTTTATCTGAATTGAGCCATTGTCCTTGAGCCACCGGTTTAATACGAACGAACCAGTTTGGGTGTGAATATTACCTTGAAAGCAGAGAGAGTTGTAGCTTTATTTCAAGCTCCAATTCTCTCATAGTCTACGACGCCCCCTTCCACCCAGTCATGACCATGTGGCCCGGCGCGACCCGACTTGGCTGGGCCAGAAGGGTTCCCGGGTCGGGCCGGCCTCGGGCCAAGCTTGTGGAGGGTCTGACCCGACCTGGGTTTTGACATTCGGGTCAGAACTGACCCGACCCCGGGTCGGGTCGGGTCGGGTCGGGTCGGGTCGGGTCGGGCCAGGCTGTCCCTCCCTGTTACGGGGTACGGGTGTGTATTAGCTGTAGTGAAAAGTGCTGTGCACGCGGCGCCCCTCAATCAGTACAAATGGTACTAGTTCATGGCTGGGCCCACTTATGAACGGTGGCTGTTCTAAGACATGGCGCGTGCAGCCTCGAAGGTGAAATCGCACTAGTAAAACGTGAACTCGTGAGTATACTATCCCACCAGCGCGGTCTCCTTAAAATGCAGAGTAACGTCTTTGTAGTTACTAGACATGTCAGAAAACATGGTTTCGTAGGCTGAAAAAGAACTAGTAACTTTGCTTAGGTTACATTAATGGCTGAAGTTTTGCTACTTGGCACGTGGTAAGGTTCTGATGTCGAGACTTTTTAATCCTCGACATCAAATTTTTCTAGGGTTTGGAACCCTACAGAGTTGAAATCGGGTCGGGTCAATTCTGGCCCAAAGCCCGGCCCTGACTCGGCCCAAGTTCTGTACTCCGGTCGGGTTTTAGCTCGGGTAGGGTCGGGCCAACCCGCGCGGGGCACATTTCTGACATTTCTGAAACCACGGGTCGGGTCAGTTAGGTTTTCCCAACTTCCTTGCTCGAATGTATCTTAACAGTCTAATCAATACAACTTCTCTCACAACCATGGCCTCCAACTTTCTCTCCTTGAACATTTCACTATAGTTACACTGGCTGAAACATAAAAGGAGCTGTTATCTAAAAAGAACCATGGGAAACACACCAATGTTAGGCTATGAGGGAGCTGGAGCTTCGGCGTGGCTCGGATAGTTGTTGAAAACAAACCGGCAGAACAGAAGAACCGGTTCGATTTGTTGAAAGAAAAAAAAACCAACCGCAAAAAAGAAAAACGGTATAGTTTGGGTGAAAAACAAACCGAACCGCCCTGAACCGAACCGCAGTTATTTTTTGTCCTCATGCGTACTTGAATCACTTCACCTCACTATAACCTCAGTGATGTTCATAATTTGGCATTATTTTTCCACTCAGAGATGTTTCAAGCAACCAACTGTCTGGCAGCATTCCTGCTACCATCAGCATACTCACCCAAGTTTCTCGCCTGTCAGTTGCCCTTTAGTCTAGTGCTATCAGTTTCCTCTCACAGGAGAGCTTTTCTCATGTTGAGCGTGAGCTAAGAAACAAGGGGGTGACTTTGATACATAGTGTGTGCATGCAATGAACTCATTCGTGGAGCGCCCCCTTATTCCAGTGTTTTGAATGGATGGGTTGCTGTACTTCAAATGTGGTGCTCAGATGAATTCTCCTTACTTCGGTGAGCACCACGATCTCTCTGTTCTTCTTACTGCCCTAGTTTCATGAAACATTTTCCTTCAAAAAGCCCACCAGCATTCCACTTCGCATACTGGTGCATCATCATCCTAGAGTGCTGGTCTGGTTCTTCCTTGCATTCGTACCCAATGGCAGGTCCCTCGGGAGTAATCATCTCACGGGTTCAATTCCTGTGGAAATTGGCTCTCTACTATCTCTTGCATCCCTGTAAGGCTTCTTTCTGCCACACGAGCCTAAGACTGGGCTAAGCTGGCTCGTTTTTAGGCTATGGCAAGCCGGCGGGCTGACAAGCCAAGCTGGAGTCTCCACTCGATGGGCCGGGCCGGGCCGGGCTGACTCGGCCCGTGGCTCGTCCGTCGTAGCAAGCCTTTGCTAATGTGTGCTCCCTCCCCCCCAACCTACTATCTTGTCGCTCTCGAATTGGTCACCTCCTTGACCTCTACATTTCCTTCTCATCACTGGCCCCATTCCCTTTCCTATCGTGTCCTGCAAACACACCAATGAACTCATTTTTTCTTTCCGCGTGTCCACCCTCCACATCATCACCACAGCTCTCTCAACTCCAACTTGCTCTCAGGATCTTTGCCCTCTGCGATCACAAAGCTCACTGCTCTTACTTTCCTGTAAATAATCCATTGTATTGTTTTCCTTTGCCAGAAACCTTCGCAGAGTGTGCAACGAAAACTATTGTAGTAGGACAAGTTAGGCACGAGCAAGGGGTGAGGCAGGGCAGGGCCGACACAAATCAGGGTGGGCAGCCTTTCTAGAGACAGTGATTCTCTGTGTTTGTACCACATCGTTTTATTCCATATAGGTACTCGAACATTCGTTCACAGAACAGCAAAGCCTTGGAAAGACTGATTACAGCAATTGTGATTCAGGCCAAACTCGGGCAACCCTGTGACAAACCGCCAATGGCTGATTGGAACCCCACCTGGCCATCAGGCTGGTGAGGTTCAAAATGGGCCAACCCAATTGAACCTTCCTCATGTCCAGTCTCATGCTAATAATCACCGTCCTATCTTCCTTCTTACCAATTTGTCCATCTCCCTTTCACGCCTCCCACGTGCCCCTTGTCTCCCTGTCTCGGACAGCTCCCTCGCTAACAACCAGCTCACCAGCTCCATCCCCGCTGGCGTTGGCTTGCTGACAAAGCTGGTAACCATGTAAGGATCCATTGCAGGTGCTTGGCCCACATTCTTAGGCATGAGCAACAACCGAACGAAAACTACTTGCGCACCAGATGGGGGTGGAGATTTTCAGAACCGCACTCTTCAAGCCTTCAAGTCTTAAGGCACATGGGTTTTGCTCATGCTTTGATTGAACACCCTGAGTGGGACAGGTCACTTGCCTCCAACCAGCTCAACGGCTCCATCCCGGCAGACGTTGGTGCCCTCATCAAGTTGACAAATATGTAAGAAGATCCGCTTTTGTTGTTCTTCTCACATCTCCTGTGCTCTCCCAGGACTCTTTCCCCCCCTTTTCAGAATAGCACGACCTCTTTAGTCTCCCTCTGTTCTTCCCAATTTCCCTTCACTTCCCTGTTTCGACTGTTCACCTCCTGTGATCGATTCCTCACAATAGAGTTCTGCAAGTGGATGCCGTAATATTATAAGTCCGACAGTCGTGTTGCCTCACATTCTTCTGGCATGTTTCCTCATCTCGTCTTCTCCAATGGACGATCATCTTCATTTGCTAATCACCCTTTGTATAGTCTTCCCCAACCTTGTCGCTGTACCTCCTCTCTTCAGTCTGGTCATCTTTTGTATGCTACAATGTCACCATAACCCCAGTGACATCTTATAATCTGGCTTCATTTCAGAGACGTTTCAAGTAACCAGTTGTCTGGCAGCATTCCTGCTGCCATCAGCACACTCGCCCAACTTCTTTGCCTGTTAGTGGCACTCTACTCTAGTCTAGTGCTGTCAGTTTCCTCTCACAGGGGAGCTTCTTTCATGTTGAGCGTGAGCTAACAACACGAGGGGGTAACATGATACAAACGTACATGCATGCATTGAAGTATTTTGCAAAGCACCCATTTAGATCCCTTGATCAGAGTTGTGACTGAATGCGGTGTGGTAAACTGTGGTGCTCAGATACACTCTTCCTGTTGTAGACTGTCCCGTTCTATTTCCCATCACAATATCACTGGTTTTTACTTACTGCCCTGGTTTCATTCATACACCAAATCCCGCAAGACTATCACCAGCCTTCCTCTCCTCGTCCTAGTGCTTAGGCATGATCATTAGGCCCGACCCGACCCGACCCGACCCGACTTGGGCGGGCCAGCCGGGTTTCGGGTCGGGTCGGGTCGGGTCGGAACTTCTAGGAATCCTGGCCCGACCCGGGTATCGGGTGCCGGGTCAGGCTTGACCCCCCCCCCGGGTCGGGTCGGGTAGGGGCCGGGTCGGGTCGGGTTGGGCCAGAACCCCATATGCAGTGTGTAGGGGTTTCCTCACTACTGTCCAGTGTTGCAAAGACTGAATGTTTGTGTAATATATAATTATATGAACGTCCTCCCTTCTGTAAATTAACTATTCAAAGTTGCGTAAACTGTTACACGTGTTTGGAAAAAACCTACAAAGGCCTAAAAGCTAACGGAGTCAACTAGTAGTTTGACGCACAGGAATAAGAACCAATCAAGTTTTGGTCCGATCACGTTATCTGATGAAGTTAAGGGCATGAGCATCAATTACGAACAAATATCACAACCCCATCGATTCATCCTCCACTCCCAGGGTGGGATTGGCCGTTGAGGTGCCCTTGGGAGCGAGAGTCCCCGAAGGGTGGTGGTCCTGCCACGTCTTAATCAGCATGGAAGCACGCACTTGGCCAGCTGCCAGTCGGTGTCGCTGCCAAGTAATGATGTTCCTGCTCTGTGAGAATGCGCGCTCACTTGCTGCTGACGAAGCCGGTACCCCCAGATAATCTTTAGCCATCGCCCTCAAGCCCTTCAGTGTCTCCCTGCTGCGCCAATACTCCAATGCGCTTCCACCCCTCTGCCTCCCCTCTGCCAGGTACTGATCCACCTCATCCTGTAGATCCTCCCCCTCTTCGGCCTCCATGGCGTCCCACGCAGCGAACAACTGAGACTGGATGCTGACATTTGCCGATGCATCCACAGCCCCACCCCCTGCCGACGCATGCACCCCTGCACCCCTCGCACTAGTCACCTCCCCACCATCTCGCAGCGCCGTGGTGCTGGCTGCCTGGTACTCTGGAAGGCGCGCTCGTACCAGGGCCTTCACCCTATCAGGTCCTAGCTCCAGTGTTGTCCCTCTCGAATTCCCCTCTGCTGCCCTGACTCGGTGCTTGAAGGGCGCGAGCTTCTGGCGCGGGTCCAAGAAAGTGGCTATCGCTGCCTCCTCGCTCACACCCCCCATGTGTCGCTCCAGCTTGCTCAGAGCAGCAGTGATCAGCGATGAGCGCAGAGGGGAGATGCCAGGAGTGCGCTGTGCCTTCTCCTGCAGATCAATCAGCGTGTTGTACTGCGGTACAACGGCTGAGAGGGTAGGGTACAGAGAACCCTCGGCGAAGAGGGTGACTTGCTCGAATGGGGTGAGGAAGTCTCGGAGCTCGGCGAGGTCGTCCCAGTGCGCATCCGTCAACCTGATGGCGTCCCACGCCTTCTTAGTCTCCTTGCTGATGGATGACTGGTATGGGTCACATGGGTTGTAAAGATGGAGGCACAGTATGGGATTGTGGCACATGCATGGGATGGTGGCACATGCATGGGATGGTGGGACATGCATGCATGGGATGGTGGCACATGCATGCATGGGATGGTGGCACATGCATGGGATGGTGGCACATGCATGCATGGGATGGTGGGACATGCATGCATGGGATGGTGGCACATGCATGCATGGGATGGTGGCACATGCATGCATGGGATGGTGGCACATGCATGCATGGGATGGTGGCACATGCATGGGATTGTGGCACATGCATGCATGGGATGGTGGCACATGCACGCATGGGATGGTGGCACATGCATGCATGGGATGGTGGCACATGCATGGGATGGTGGGACATGCATGCATGGGATGGTGGCACATGCATGCATGGGATGGTGGCACATGCATGGGATGGTGGCACATGCATGCATGGGATGGTGGGACATGCATGCATGGGATGGTGGCACATGCATGCATGGGATGGTGGCACATGCATGGGATGGTGGCACATGCATGCATGGGATGGTGGGACATGCATGCATGGGATGGTGGCACATGCATGCATGGGATGGTGGCACATGCATGGGATGGTGGCACATGCATGCATGGGATGGTGGCACATGCATGCATGGGATGGTGGCACATGCATGGGATTGTGGCACATGCATGCATGGGATGGTGGCACATGCACGCATGGGATGGTGGCACATGCATGCATGGGATGGTGGCACATGCATGGGATGGTGGGACATGCATGCATGGGATGGTGGCACATGCATGGGATGGTGGCACATGCATGGGATTGTGGCACATGCACGCATGGGATGGTGGCACATGCATGCATGGGATGGTGGCACATGCATGGGATTGTGGCACATGCATGCATGGGATGGTGGCACATGCATGGGATGGTGGCACATGCATGCATGGGATGGTGGCACATGCATGCATGGGATGGTGGCACATGCATGCACGGGATGGTGGCACATGCATGGGATGGTGGCACATGCATGCATGGGATGGTGGGACATGCATGCATGGGATGGTGGCACATGCATGCATGGGATGGTGGCACATGCATGGGATGGTGGCACATGCATGCATGGGATGGTGGCACATGCATGCATGGGATGGTGGCACATGCATGGGATTGTGGCACATGCATGCATGGGATGGTGGCACATGCACGCATGGGATGGTGGCACATGCATGCATGGGATGGTGGCACATGCATGGGATGGTGGGACATGCATGCATGGGATGGTGGCACATGCATGGGATGGTGGCACATGCATGGGATTGTGGCACATGCACGCATGGGATGGTGGCACATGCATGCATGGGATGGTGGCACATGCATGGGATTGTGGCACATGCATGTGAATCCAACCATACGTACATCTGAATCGTCGAAAAACATGGCAATGGGCATGCGCAGCTCGAAGCCCCTGTTCACCATGTGGAGTGTAGAACCCCATCTCGTCACGCAGTCCACGATCAAACGCAACGGACGCGATGGTCGCCGAGAACCTGGAGGACCCTGGGGCCGGGTCGCCGCGTATCCCTTCTGGAGCTCGAAGAAACGATCTGTGCGCAGTGTGGACCAGCCGATGTAGTTCGCCACGTCTCGCAGCCTCTTGAGTGGCTCGGCCACCTCGTCAACCTTCAGTGCAGCTTGCACTGCAAGGTTGACGATGTGCGCCATGCACCTGTTGGGGCAATGCATTGTGCACAACCTTAATGTCACTGTACCACATGAGCACTGCCATAACAAACATGGTGGACTACGCCAACAGTTTATAGCATACCCTTACGGAGACAGCCCCATAGTACCTGAAGTGCCTCCAGCGACTGAGCAGTGGTGGGTGCCTGGGCCGTGAGCCCGGCCTGGCGTCAGATACACCGGCCAGCAGACGCATCGCCCTGCTGTTGTTCTCGGCGTTGTCACACGTCACGGCGAACAGCATCTTCTCCAAGCCCCACTCCCTCAACACCTCCTCCAGCTCATCGGCTATCAAGTCCCCCGTATGAGAGCCCTTAAGCTCCCTGAAGTCTATAACAGCCTGTTTTAGCTGGAAATCGCTGGTGACATAGTGGGCAGTCACCCCCATGAAGGCCACGTTGTTCTCACCGGTCCAGATGTCAAAGGTGAGGGACATCCTTCCCGCCAGGCCATCACCCACCAGTAGCTGCCGCATGTCCTCCCGAGCAGCCTCCCCGTATGCCTGCATGTCCCGTGCCAAGCGATGGCGTGAGCCGAGCAGTAGCGCAGCTCCCGGGTTCAGCATCTGGACAAATGCTTTGAACTGTAACGCAGGAGTCAAAGGATGTCGGTAAAAGGATTATGAAGATGCTTCGGGATTAGCCAACAGAATGCAGTGCGGCTGCCCTGTACGAATATGACCACCTCAATACGAAGATGAACATGACCAACGGCAAGAGAACGGCGTCACTCACCTCGCGACACTCAACAAGTCGAAACGGAAGGTCAGCTGCCGCAAATAGCAGCACCAATCCCTCGCGCAGCTGCTGGCCATGAACACGCGGCGTGACGAATGCGGCCATGCTCATCTGCCTACTCCCACCAGCCTCGGATCCGCCAGTCACAGCGCTGTCTGGTGTCTGTACAATCCTGGGCCACGTGGCTGCATGCTCCCAAGGCCACGCTGTCTGGTCGGGGACATCCGGACCCCATCCCCCATCGGGAAACGTCAGGTTGTCTGGCTTGTTTGGATCCTTGAAACGCCGACACCAGATCTGCAGACTGGGGTAGTGGCTCTTCCCCGTGCTTGTGGTGTCTCTTCCCCGTGCTTGTGCAACTACCTTTCCAGCTAATCTTCTTCTTGCAAATCTTGCAATTCCTAGCCTCGTTCACATCCTTCTCACTGAACATGCCACGAACCAGGCCGGGTTCTGCATTCCTAAGCACCTCCTCAGTCCATGGGTCTAGCTCCTCGTCGGTAGGGGTCCTGCCCGCCCTGTCGGACCTCTGGCTTGCAATCACAGCAGCAGCTCCAGCCCCCGTAGACCCACCCAAAGGTGCACCACCTGCCGCAGCGGCGGAGGTACCTGCCCCTGCTGCGCCCGACACCTCAGAACCACCCGCGGCTGCCCCCTGCGGCTGCGAATTCGACGCCGGCCCGGCCCCTCCAGCTCCCGACCCCACAGGCCCACTCGGGCGTGGCCTCTTTGCTGCTGCACCGCTGCCACGCGCGCCACTGCCACCAGCCTGGCCCGCTCCTCTCCCTCCCCAACCCTCATCACCCGATCCTCCACTCGTGCCGGCCGCCTCCCCCGGAGCCGGCCTCCAATCCGGGTCCTTCTCCTTTCCCCGTGTTCCTTGCTCCTCCGTCACCGGGCCAGGTCCTAGAGACTCCCATTCCCGCACCTCTTCACGCCTCCTCGTCGCGATTGCATCGTCCCACCCAATTTCCTGCCCATTGAAGACGCTCCCCAAGCGAAAACTGGCCCTGGAGGCCGGTGTCGGGAGGCCTCCAAGTGAAGCCCCAGGAATAGCCCGTGAGCTGTCTTCTTCCCCCTCCATTCGCGTGCAAGCGGCGTCGATTACGTTTCGGACCTTGGAGTCGCGACGTTTTTGTAATGGCGCAGGCCTAGACAATTGGGGGTCGCGTCCCTAAAGATGCGGGCGTGGTAGGCGCGAAGTGGGCGATTTGAACGCGGGGCCAGAGTTTAGTCGTGTGTGAGAGCGTGGAATAAGTAAGTCTATAAAATCGAAAATCTGTGGTTGGTCACGCTAGGCTAAGAACTCCATTCCGCCAACATTGAACCACATGAAATAGGGTTCCTAAACATGGGCGCTGGTTTAGAGAGTTATAGAGGTTAAGAACGAGCTAAGTTAGAGAGTGCTAGCTGCCTAGGTATAGCAGATCGAAGTCAATGTCGAGGGAAAAGAAAAACCCTAGACATTGACTTGGCGATCTGCTTTACTTCGAATTGTCGAGGGAGGGAAACTCGGGTCGGGGCATAATGCCCGACCCGACTTAGGGCGCGGTACCCGATTTCGAGTCGGGTCAAATTTCGGGTCAAAAACTGACCCGACCCGACCCGACCCGGTTTCGGGTGTCGGGTCGGCCCGACCCGGCCGGGTAAACCCGACCCGACCCGCCCGGGTCAACGCTTCAAAATGTCTGACGCGACCCGGGTCAAAACCCGGGTCGGGTCGGGTCGGCCCGACCCGCCGGGGCAGGATGATCATGCCTACTAGTGCTTGATTCTGGAACCACAATTCGGTTCGGTTCTGTGCAGTTTGGTTTGTTTTTGTCCGAATTGAGAGCCATTATCCTTATGCCTCCGGTTTAGTACGAAGCGGTTTGGGTTTGAATATAACCTTGAAACCAAAGAGGGTTGTAGCTTTACCTCAAGCTCCAATTCTTTCATAGTCTACGACGCCCCCTTCCACTCCACCTAACATTGATGTGCTTCCCACAGATACTTTAAGTTTCTTATCATTGTTGAGGTTCATTTCATAGCCTAAACTGAAAACACCCTAACTTTGGTTTGGTTTTCCCAACTTCCTTGCTCAAACGTATCTTAACAGTCTAATCAATACAACTTCTGCTCTTACAACCATGGCTTCCAAGTTTCTCTTCTTACACATTCACTATAGTTACCACTAGCTGAAACATAAAAAGAAGCTGTATCTAGAAAGAACCGTGGTTAACACACCAATGTTAGGCTATGAGGGAGCTGGAGCTTCGGCGTGGCTCGGATAGTTGTTGAAAACAAACTGGCCGAACAGAAGAACCGGTTCGATTTGTTGAAAAAAAAAAAAACCGGCCGCAAAAAAGAACATCACAAAAATGTGTGCGTCCGGAAATCATCTGACCATTTTTTTTTTAAGGAAGCTTCAGAAAATCGTTTGACAATCATCCAGGAATCATCTACGAATCGTTTGTATAGCATTCTTGTCAGACCAAACGTTGTGGTGATGTTTTAGTAATGGTTTCGCGATGTTGCAATGGAATGTTTGTTAGATGTTAATTGTTGAGACAATAAAAAACGGGATAGTCTGGGTGAAAAACAAACCGAACCGCCCTGAACCGAACCGCGGTTATTTTTTGTGCTCATGCATACTTGAATCATGTCACCTCACTATAACCTCAATGATATTTATAATTTGGCATTCTTCTTCCACTCAGAGATGTTTCAAGCAACCAACTGTCTGGCAGCATTCCTAGTATCATCAGCACACTCACCCAAGTTTGTTTCCTGTCAGTTGCACTCTAGTCTAGTGTGTCAGTTTGCTCTCACAGGAGAGCTTTTCTGATGTTGAGCGTGAGCTAAGAACACACATACGTGTGTGCATGCAATGAAGTCATTCGTGGAGCGCCCCCTTTCTCCAGTGTTTTGAATGGATGGGTTGTTGTAGGTCAAATGTGGTGCTCAGATGAATTCTCCTTACTTTGGTGAGGCACCACGATCTCTCTGTTCTTCTGACTGCCCTAGTATCATAAAACATTTTCCTTCAAAAAGCCCACCAGCATTCCTCTTCGCATACTGGTGCATCATCATCCTAGAGGCTCGTCGTGATGGGAACTTGAACATCCATCCGCCCTCTGTCTGACAGGGGTCACTGCCCTTGTGCTTGCCCATGGTAAAATTCCACGTGCTTGTCTGGTTCTTCCTTCTTGCATTCGTACGCAATGGCAGGTCCCTCGGGAGTAATCAGTTCACGGGTTCAATTCCTGTGGAATTTTGCTCTCTACTATCTCTGACATCCCTGTAAGGCTCCTTTCTGCCACACGAGCACAAGACTGGGCTAAGCTGGCTCGTTTTTGGGCTATGGCAAGCCGGCGGGCTGACAAGCCAAGCTGGAGTCTCCACTCGATGGGCCGGGCCGGGCCGGGCTGACTCGGCCCGGCCCTCATCCGTCGTAGCAAGCCTTTGCTAATGTGTGCTCCCTCCCCCCCAACCTACTATCTTGTCGCTCTCGAATTGGTCACCTCCTTGACCTCTACATTTCCTTCTCATCACTGGCCCCATTCCCTTTCTTATCGTGTCCTGCAAACACACCAATGAACTCATTTTTTCTTTCCGCGTGTCCACCCTCCACATCATCACCACAGCTCTCTCAACTCCAACTTGCTCTCAGGATCTTTGCCCTCTGCGATCACAAAGCTCACTGCTCTTACTTTCCTGTAAATAATCCATTGTATTGTTTTCCTTTGCCAGAAACCTTCGCAGAGTGTGCAACGAAAACTATTGTAGTAGGACAAGTTAGGCACGAGCAAGGGGTGAGGCAGGGCAGGGCCGACACAAATCAGGGTGGGCAGCCTTTCTAGAGACAGTGATTCTCTGTGTTTGTACCACATCGTTTTATTCCATATAGGTACTCGAACATTCGTTTCACAGAACAGCAAAGCCTTGGAAAGACTGATTACAGCAATTGTGATTCAGGCCAAACTCGGGCAACCCTGTGACAAACCGCCAATGGCTGATTGGAACCCCACCTGGCCATCAGGCTGGTGAGGTTCAATATGGGCCAACCCAATTGACCCTTCCTCATGTCCAGTCTCATGCTAATAATCACCGTCCTATCTTCCTTCTTACCAATTTGTCCATCTCCCTTTTACGCCTCCCACGTGTCCCTCGTCTCCCTGTCTCGGACAGCTCCCTCGCTAACAACCAGCTCACCAGCTCCATCCCCGCTGGCATTGGCTTGCTGACAAAGCTGGTAACCATGTAAGGATCCATTGCAGGTGCTTGGCCCACATTCTTAGGCATGAGCAACAACCGAACGAAAACTACTTGCGCACCAGATGGGGGTGGAGATTTTCAGAACCGCACTCTTCAAGCCTTCAAGTCTTAAGGCACACGGGTTTTGCTCATGCTTTGATTGAACACCCTGAGTGGGACAGGTCGCTTGCCTCCAACCAGCTCAACGGCTCCATCCCGGCAGACGTTGGCGCCCTCACCAAGTTGACAATTATGTAAGATCCGCTTTTGTTGTTCTTCTCACATCTCCTGTGCTCTCCCAGGACTCTTTCCCCCCCTTTTCAGAATAGCACGACCTCTTTAGTCTCTTTCTGTTCTTCCCTATTTCCCTTCACTTCCCTGTTTCGTTTGTTCACCTCCTTTTTGGTCCATTGATTCTTTCTCTTGTTTCTTGTGATCAATTCCTCACAATATAGTTTCTGCAAGTGGATGCCGTAATATCATCATAATTCCGACAGTCGTGTTGCCTTACATTCTTCTGGCATTTTTCCTCGTCTCGTCTTCTCCAATGGACAACCATCTTCATTTGGTAATCACCCTTTGTATTCTCTTCCCCAACCCTGTCGCTGTCCCTCCTCTCTTCAATGAGTCTGGTCTTCTCTTGTATGCTAGAACGTCACCATAACCTCAGTGACATCTTATAATCTGGCTTCATTTCAGAAACGTTTCAGGCAACCAGTTGTCTGGCAGCATTCCTGCTGCCATCAGCACACTCGCCCAACTTTCTCGCCTGTTAGTGGCACTCTACTCTAGTCTAGTGCTGTCAGATTCCTCTCACAGGGGAGCTTCTTTCATGTTGAGCGTGAGCTAACAACACCAGGGGGTAACAACATCAGGGGGTGACATGATACAAACGTACATGCATGCATTCAATGGCTGATTGGAACCCCACCTGCCATCAGGCTGGTGTGGTTCAAGATGGTTCAAGATTGATCCTTCCTCATGTCTAGTCTCATGCTAACAATCACCGTCTTACCTTCCTTCTTAACAATTTGTTCATCTCCCTTGTACGCCTCCCACGTGCCCCTCGTCTCCCTGTCTCGGACAGCTCCCTCGCTAACAACCAGCTCACCAGCTCCATCCCCGCTGGCATTGGCTTGCTGACAAAGCTGGTAACCATGTAAGGATCCACTGCAGGTGCTTGGCCCACATTCCTAGGCATGAGGAATAACCGAACGAAAACTACTTGCGCACCAGATGGGGGTGGAGATTTTCAGAACGGCACTCTTCAAGCCTTCAAGTCTTAAGGCACACGGGTTTTGCTCATGCTTTGATTGAACACCCTGAGTGGGACAGGTCGCTGGCCTCCAACCAGCTCAACGGCTCCATCCCGGCAGACGTTGGCGCCCTCACCAAGTTGACAATTATGTAAGAAGATACGCTTTTGTTGTTCTCCTCACATCTCCTATGCTCTCGCAGGACTCCTTCCCCCCCTTTTCAATATAGCACGACCTCTTTAGTCTCCCTCTGTTCTTCCCTATTTCCCTTCACTTCCCTGTTACATTGTTCACCTCCTGTGATCAATTCCTCACAATATGGTTTCTGCAAGTGGATGCCGTAATATCATAATTCCGACAGTCGTGTTGCCTCACATTCTTCTGGCATGTTTCCTCGTCTCGTCTTCTCCAATGGACGATCATCTTCATTTGCTAATCACCCTTTGTATGGTCTTCCCCAACCTCGTCGCTGTCCCTCCTCTCTTCAGTCTGGTCATCTCTTGTATGCAACAACGTCACCATAACCCCAGTGACATCTTATAATCTGGCTTCATTTCAGAGACGTTTCAAGCAACCAGTTGTCTGGCAGCAT